AATGGGGATGGGGGGATGGGAATGGGGGGGAAGGGAAGGGATGGGGGGAAGGGATGGGGGGATGGGAATGGGGGGGCAATGGGAATGGGGGATGGGAATGGGATTGGGTGGGTTAAAGGGGGGGTTCAAGGGGGGGTTAAAGGGGGGGTCAAGAAGGGGTTAAGGGGGGGTGAGGGGGTTGAGGGGGGTTACGGGGGGTTAAGGGGGGGTTAAAGGGGGGGTTGGGGGGTTCAAAGGGGGTTCAAGGGGGGGTTAAGGGGGGATTAAAGGGGGTTCAAGGGGGTTAAGGGTGTTCAAAGGGGGGGTTCAAGGGGGGTTAAAGGGGGGGTTCAGGAGGGTCAAGGGGGGTTCGGGGGGGGTTGAAGGGGGGTCAAGGGGGGAATTGAAGGGGGGTTAAAGGGGGGTTAGAGGGGGGTTCAGAGGGGTTCAAAGGGGGGTTAAATGGGGGTCAATAGGGGTCAAGGTGGTTCAGGGGGGGTTAAAGGGGGGGTTAAGGTGGGGTTAAAGGGGGGTGAATAGGGGTTAAAGGGGGTGAAGGGGGGTTAAAGGGGGGGTTCAGGGGGGGTTAAAGGGGGGGTTAAGGTGGGGTTAAAGGGGGGTGAATAGGGGTTAAAGGGGGTGAAGGGGGGTTAAAGGGGGGGTTCAGGGGGGGTTAAAGGGGGGGTTCAAGGGGGTTAAAAGGGGGGTTAAAGGGGGGGTTCAGGTGGGGTTAAAGGGGGGTTGAGGGGGGTTAAAGGGGGGTTAAAGGGGGGGTTCAAGGGGGTTAAAGGGGGGTTCAGGGGGGTTAAAGGGAGGGTTAAAGGGGGGTTAAAGGGGGGTTCAGGGGGGTTAAAGGGAGGTTAAAGGGGGGGGTTCAAGGGGGTTAAAGGGGGGTTCAGGGGGGGTTCAGGTAGGGTTAAAGGGGGGGTTCAAGGGGGTTAAAGGGGGGGTTCAGGTGGGTTAAAGGGGAGTTAAAGGGGGGGTTCAGGGGGGGTTAAAGGGGTGTTAAAGGGAGGGTTAAGTTGGGGTTCAAAGGGGGGGTTCAAGGGGGGTTAAAGGGGGGGTTCAAGGGGGGTTAAAGGGGGGTTCAGGGGGGTTAAAGGGGGGTTCAGGTGGGGTTAAGGGGGTGTTAAAGGAGGGGTTCAGGGGGGTTAAAGGGGGGGTTCAGGGGGGTTAAGGGGGTGTTAAAGGGGGGTTCAGGGGGGTTAAAGGGGGGTTCAGGGGGGTTAAGGGGGTGTTAAAGGGGGGTTCAGGGGGGTTAAAGGGGGGGTTCAGGGGGGTTAAGGGGGTGTTAAAGGGGGGTTCAGGGGGGTTAAAGGGGGGTTAAAGGGGGTTAAAGGGGGGTTAAGGGGGGGTTAAAGGGGGGTTCAGGTGGGTTTAAAGGGGGGGTTAAAGGGGGGGTTGAGGGGGGTTAAAGGGGGGTTCAGGGGGGTGTCCACTGACCGCGGTGCCGGCGCCGTCGCTGCCCTGCTCCGCTTTGTGCTCCACGGCGAGCTCGGCCTCCAGCAGCTTCTCCACCGGCATCTCCTGCGCGGGGCCCGGCCCCACAGCATCGGGGTCGCCGTCCTTCTCCTTGTCCTTGCCCCGCTGGCGCTCCTCCTGCACGGCTATGGGGCGGGATGGGGGGCGGGGGTGAGCTCCCGTGTCCCCATTGAGCTCCCCATTGGGTTCCCCATTGAGCTCCCCATTGGGTTCCCCATTGAGTTCCCATCTCCCCATTGAGTTCCCCATTGAGTTCCTGTCTCCCCATTGAGTTCCCAGTTGAGTTCCCCTCTTCCAGTTGAGTTCCCAGTTGAGTTCCCGTCTCCCCATTGAGCTCCTCATTGGGTTCCCCATTGAGTTCCCATCTCCCCATTGAGTTCCCAGTTGAGTTCCCCTCTTCCAGTTGAGTTCCCAGTTGAGTTCCCATGTCCCCATTGAGTTCCCAGTGGAGTTCCCCTCTCCCAGTTGAGTTCCCAGTTGAGTTCCCATCTCCCAGTTGAGTTCCCCATTGAATTCCCCTTTCCCCGTTGAGTTCCCAGTTGAGTTCCCATCTCCCCATTGAGCTCCCCATTGGGTTCCCCATTCAGTTCCCCTCTTCCAGTTGAGTTCCCAGTTGAGTTCTCCTCTTCCAGTTGAGTTCCCATCTCCCCATTGAGTTCCCCATTGGGTTCCCCATTGAGTTCCTGTCTCCCCATTGAGTTCCCCATTGAGTTCCCATCTCCCCATTGAGTTCCCCATTGGGTTCCCCATTGAGTTCCCATCTCCCCATTGAGTTCCCCATTGAGTTCCCCATTGAGTTCCCATCTCCCCATTGAGCTCCCCATTGGGTTCCCCATTGAGTTCCCCTCTTCCAGTTGAGTTCCCAGTTGAGTTTCCCTCTCCCAGTTGAGTTCCCATCTCCCCATTGAGCTCCCCATTGGGTTCCCCATTGAGTTCCTCTTCCAGTTGAGTTCCCAGTTGAGTTCCCGTCTCCCCATTGAGTTCCCAGTTGAGTTCTCCCCTTCCAGTTGAGTTCCCAGTTGAGTTCCCCTCTCCCCATTGAGTTCCCAGTTGAGTTCTCCCCTTCCAGTTGAGTTCCCAGTTGAGTTCCCCTCTTCCAGTTGAGTTTCCAGTTGAGTTCCCATCTCCCAGTTGAGTCCCCAGTTGAGTTCCCATCTCCCCATTGAGTTCCCAGTTGAGTTCCCATCTCCCCATTGAGTTCCCAGTTGAGTTCCCATCTCCCCATTGAGTTCCCAGTTGAGTTCCCCTCTCCCAGTTGAGTTCCCAGTTGAGTTCCCATCTCCCAGTTGAGTTCCCAGTTGAGTTCCCTGTTGAGTTCCCCTCTCCCAGTTGAGTTCTCAGTTGAGTTCCCCTCTCCCAGTTGAGTTCTCAGTTGAGTTCCCCTCTTCCAATTGAGCTCCCAGTTGAGTTCCCCTCTCCCAGTTGAGTTCCCAGTTGAGTTCCCCTCTCCCAGTTGAGTTCCCCTCTTCCAGTTGAGCTCCCAGTTGAGTTCCCATCTCCCAGTTGAGTTCCCCATTGAGTTCCCATCTCCCAGTTGAGTTCCCAGTTGAGTTCCCCTCTTCCAGTTGAGTTCCCGTCTCCCCACTGACTTCCCAGTTGAGTTCCCATCTCCCCACTGAGCTCCCCATTGGGTTCCCCATTGAGTTCCCCTCTTCCAGTTGAGTTCCCAGTTGAGTTCTCCTGTCCCAGTTGAGTTCCCAGTTGAGTTCCCCTCTTCCAGTTGAGTTCCCAGTTGAGTTCCCATCTCCCAGTTGAGTTCCCATCTCCCCATTGAGCTCCCAGTTGAGTTCCCCTCTCCCAGTTGAGTTCCCAGTTGAGTTCCCATCTCCCCATTGAGTTCCCAGTTGAGTTCTCCCCTTCCAGTTGAGTTCCCAGTTGAGTTCCCATCTCCCAGTTGAGTTCCCATCTCCCCATTGAGCTCCCCATTGAGTTCCCAGTTGAGTTCCCCTCTCCCAGTTGAGTTCCCAGTTGAGTTCCCATCTCCCCATTGAGTTCCCAGTTGAGTTCCCGTTTCCCCATTGAGTTCCCAGTTGAGTTCCCCTCTTCCAGTTGAGTCCCCAGTTGAGTTCCCATCTCCCCATTGAGTTCCCAGTTGAGTTCCCCCTCCCAGTTGACTTCCCAGTTGAGTTCCCATCTCCCAGTTGAGTTCCCAGTTGAGTTCCCCTCTCCCAGTTGAGTTCCCAGTTGAGTTCCCATCTCCCCGTTGAGTTCTCCTCTCCCCATTGAATTCCCAGTTGAGTTCTCCTCTCCCCGTTGAGTTCTCCTCTCCCAGTTGAGCTCCCAGTTGAGGTCCCATCTCCCCACTGAATTCCCAGTTGAGTTCCCCTCTCCCAGTTGAGTTCCCAGTTGAGTTCTCCTCTCCCCGTTGAGTTCTCCTCTCCCAGTTGAGTTCCCAGTTGAGTTCTCCTCTTCCAGTTGAGTTCCCCATTGAGTTCCCCTCTTCCAGTTGAGTTCCCAGTTGAGTTCCCATCTCCCAGTTGAGTTCCCAGTTGACCTCCCGTCTCCCATTGCTCCCCAGCCCCACATCCCCCCCCCCCCAAGCTCACCCTCCCTCTTCATGCCGCTCGCCAGGCACTTTTGGTAACGGCAGAACTGGCAGCGGTTGCGTTGGCGCTTGTCCACCACGCAGGCGCGGTTGTCGCGGCACGAGTAGCTCAGGTCCTTGCGGATCGTGCGCTTGAAGAAGCCCTTGCAGCCCTCGCAGCTGTACACCCCATAATGCTTCCCTAAATGGGGACACATACGCAATGGGGGAGACCCATAGGGGGTCAATCGGAGCCGACGCGATGGCGTTCCGGCAATGGGTTTGGTCAATGGGGCGAGGTCCGGCATGGATAGGATGGGGTTGAGGCATGGGTTGAATCAACGGGGTCGATCTATGGGTTCTATCGCTGGGGTTGATCAATGGGTTCTTTCAATGGGGTTGATCAATGGGTTCTTTCAATGGGTTCTATCAATGGGGTCTATCTATGGGTTCTATCAATGGGGTCGATCAATGGGTTCTATCGATGGGGTTGATCAATGGGTTCTATCAATGGGGTCTATCAATGGGTTCTTTCAATGGGGTTGATCTATGGGTTCTATCAATGGGGTTGATCAATGGGTTCTATCAATGGGGTCGATCAATGGGTTCTTTCAATGGGGTCGATCAATGGGTTCTATCAATGGGGTTGATCTATGGGTTCTTTCAATGGGGTTGATCAATGGGTTCTTTCAATGGGTTCTATCAATGGGGTCTATCTATGGGTTCTATCAATGGGGTCGATCAATGGGTTCTATCGATGGGGTTGATCAATGGGTTCTATCAATGGGGTCTATCAATGGGTTCTTTCAATGGGGTTGATCTATGGGTTCTATCAATGGGGTTGATCAATGGGTTCTATCAATGGGGTCGATCAACGGGTTCTTTCAATGGGGTTGATCAATGGGTTCTATCAATGGGGTTGATCAATGGGTTCTATCAATGGGGTCGATCAATGGGTTCTTTCAATGGGGTTGATCAATGGGTTCTTTCAATGGGGTCGATCAATGGGTTCTATCAATGGGGTCGATCAATGGGTTCTATCAATGGGGTCGATCTATGGGCTCTATCAATGGGGTCGATCAATGGGTTCTATCAATGGGGTCAATCTATGGGCTCTATCAATGGGGTCGATCTATGGGTTCTATCAATAGGGTTGATCAATGGGTTCTATCAATGGGGTCGATCCATGGGTTCTATCAATGGGGTCAATCCATGGGTTCTATCAATGGGGTCGATCCATGGGTTCTATCAATGGGGTCGATCAATGGGTTCTATCAATGGGGTCGATCCATGGGTTCTATCGATGGGGTCGATCAATGGGTTCTATCGATGGGGTCGATCTATGGGTTCTATCGATGGGGTCGATCTATGGGTTCTTTCAATGGGGTCGATCAATGGGTTCGATCAATGGGGTCGATCAATGGGTTCTATCGATGGGGTCGATCAATGGGTTCTATCGATGGGGTCGATCTATGGGTTCTATCAATGGGGCCACCCATGGGTTCCATCAATGGGCCCCATGGACCACCCATAGCCCCATAGGGACCCCATAGGGACTCCGTGGAGCACCCATAGCCCCATATGGACCCCATAGCCCCATAGGGACCCCATAGGGACTCCGTGGAGCACCCATAGCCCCATATGGACCCCATAGCCCCATAGGGACCCCATGGACCACTCAAACTCCCCGTGAGCACCCCACGGACCACTCAGACCCCCATAGAGACCTCACAGGGACCCCACGGAGCCCCCATAACCCAACAGAGCCCCCATAGGCCCATAGGGCCCCCATCGCCCCATAGGGTCCCCACTGCTCCATTGCCCCATAGCATCCCCATAGCCCCATAGCGTCCCCACTGCCCCACAGCGCCCCCATCGCCCCATAGAGTCCCCACTGCCCCATAGCGCCCCCATCACCCCACTGCCCCACAGCGTCCCCACTGCCCCATAGCCCCATATGGTCCCCACTGCCCCATAGCGTCCCCACTGCCCCACAGCGCCCCCACTGCCCCATAGCCCCATATGGTCCCCACTGCCCCATAGCACCCCATAGCCCCACAGCACCCCCACTGCCCCATATGGTCCCCACTGCCCCATAGCCCCATATGTTCCCCAGTGCCCCACAGCGCCCCCATAGCCCCATCACCCCATATGGTCCCCACTGCCCCATAGCGTCCCCACTGCCCCATAGCCCCATATGGTCCCCACTGCCCCACAGCGCCCCCACTGCCCCACAGTGCCCCCACTGCCCCATAGCCCCATATGTTCCCCACTGCCCCACAGCGTCCCCATAGCCCCATCACCCCATATGGTCCCCACTGCCCCATAGCGCCCCATAGCCCCACAGCACCCCCACTGCCCCATAGCCCCATATGGTCCCCACTGCCCCATAGCACCCCCATAGCCCCATAGCGTCCCCACTGCCCCATAGCCCCATATGGTCCCCACTGCCCCATAGCGCCCCCATGGCCCCACAGCACCCCCACTGCCCCATAGCCCCATACGGTCCCCACTGCCCCATATGGTCCCCACTGCCCCATAGCCCCATATGTTCCCCACTGCCCCATAGCGCCCCATAGCCCCATATGGTCCCCACTGCCCCATAGCGCCCCATAGCCCCACAGCACCCCCACTGCCCCATAGCCCCATATGGTCCCCACTGCCCCCTAGCCCCCCCATAGCCCCAGGAATGGGGGAGGGGGGACGGATATAGGAGAGGATGTTCAGCACCATCAACCCCACATAAGCCCCACAGCAGCAATCAGGGGGGATCGTCACCATCAGCCCCACATCAGCACCATCAACCCCACATAAGCCCCACAGCAGCATCAGCCCCACATCGTCACCATCAGCCCCACATCGTCACCATCAGCCCCACATCGTCACCATCAGCCCCACATTGTCACCATCAGCCCCACATTGTCACCATCAGCCCCACATCGTCACCATCAGCCCCACATCGTCACCATCAGCCCCACATCATCACCATCAGCCCCACATAGTTACCAACCCTCCCACCCTCCCCCCCGCCATTACCCCCCACCAGGCCGCCATTATCCCCCCCCTTTCCCTCACAAGACACGGTCACCACATAGAATGCACCTCTTTAAAGGGGCCTCATCCCGCCCCATTCCCATCCCGCCGGGAATCCGCCTCCATCCCCACAGCTCTCACCTCAACCCGCGGAGCGTGTTTGAAGGGGCCGCGCTCCGCCACAAAATGGCGCCGCGCAGAGCATGCTGGGAGTTGTAGGCGCAGCATTGAGCTGCGCCAACAAGGACTAGGATTCCCATCATGCCCCGCTGCGGAACGGCGGCCGGCGCGCACGTCATCCTGGGAGCTGTAGGCTTAGCAGACTGCACCGCTAGGGAGGACTACAACTCCCGGCATGCCCCGCGGTCGGCTAGAGCCTGCGCGCAGTACCTCATGGGAGTTGTAGGCGCAGTTTTACAGCTGGCTCTAGCAAGCCTACAACTCCCAGTGTTCTTCGCGGCGGAATGGCGGCGAAGCGCAGGGTACTAGGGAAGATGTAGGCGCGGCATTGCCTGCAGCGCTAAGGAGGACCACAACTCCCATCATGCCCCGCGGCGGCGCCCTCCCTCCAGGGTGGCGATGGGAGCTCCTCGGGGCCCTGCAGCCATGGGCATCACCTATGGGATACCTTGGGATTCCAACCGGGAGCCACTGACGGCTTCCCTGGATCCATGGGAATCACCCATGGCATACCAGCACCTAAACCCTAATGGGTCCTCACCTCTGACCCCACTGCTCCGAGCCCCAGGGCTGGTGGTAAAGGATGCGTAAAGAGCGCGTAACTCACCCACCTTGGAGTAACCCTTACCTTTAGGAATTCCCATCCGGAGGATGCTTTCCCACCTCTTGTAATCCCTTGCATTCCATGGCCTTGAGGTGCTTTACGGAGAGAAGCAGCATCCCAAGCCCTGCATCCACGTGGAATTTGCACTTGAATTCACTTCTCAACCCCTTGGATCCACTATCCAAGGAGAAATGGATTTATATTGGGGTTGAGGTGGATCCACACCAAGCGGAAGCGTTAAACAGCAACTCCTGCTTTGCTCCGGGTGGGAATGAGGCAGGAACGCCCGCTCTGAACACCATGGGGAATGCTTTGGGATGTGGTTACTACAGGTTTACACCGGGGTTACTACAGGTTTACAATGGGATTACTACAGGTTTACAGCGGGGTTTTTACAGGTTTACACTGGGGTTACTACAGGCTTACACTGTGGTTACTACAGCTTTACACTGTGGTTATGGCCTCTTTGGGAAGGGAATGTCTGGAGTTGGAGCATCCCCTTTACTCTGACCCCATTCCAGGCGTAAAACACTTCCGAGAGCTGCTTCCCTCCTTCCGACCCCTTCTCCCCGGGGTTTAAGGTATCTCTACAAGCTGTTGGAGCCACAGGGCGCTTCCATCCTCCTCCTTTTCCTTGCCTTCGGCTTTCCCAAGGGTTTATCCATCCGTTGGGATCCACTCTTCCATTGGGCCAACAATTCCCGTTGCACATCCACAGGGAGCTCATAGAAGGTCTCTGTATCCACATCAGGAGGAATTACTACGTCTTTACTATGGGTTTGCTCCATCGATGCTGCTGCAGGGGCCTCCTTATCCCAGCTGGAAGCACATGACCCACTCGGGATGATCCCAACTTCTGGAGGCTCTTTCTCCATCCTGATCCATGTCCTGCTGGGGTACTCAGAGGCCTGGGTTGCTCCTACAGGGTTACTACACCCTGCAGGGCAAGCAGCACTGCTTAATCCTGTTGGATTTTGGGAAGGGTTTTGGAACTCTTTGGGAAAAGGCACTGAGGGCTGAGCCGGAACATTCCCAGCATGGAATTCCAGCTGGGAAGGGAGTTCTTGTTGAAGCGCTTCTGGAAGGACTTCCTGGGCAATGGAAGGAAAAGAGGGAATTGCTCCGGGTCTTTGTGGGCTTTCCTCTCCCTCGGGAAGCTTCCTGATGTTGGGAATTCCACTGCAAGAGGCGCTCCCCTTCCCTTGGGAAGCTGCAGCTTCCTATGGAAAGAGCAGAGATCAAAGCAGGAGCAGCCTGGGGGTCACTAACCAGGGAGCAGCCACGGCCTGAGCCACAGCCAAGGGCACCTTGGAGCCTGCTCCAGGCGGACAAAGGCCAGGAGAGGGCTCCCACAGCACTCATAGCACCCATAGAACTCCAGCACC